TGCATGCTGGAGAGAGACTTGGGAGAAAGATCTGGATTGCCAGGACAAGGGGAATGGCTTCATGCTGTTAAGGTCCTTCCAGCYCAAACTATTCCATGATTTTGTGCTCTCCTGATCTCCTGGAACTAAATTCTCAGAGAAGCTCGTGGAAGGACGACAAATAGATTTTTTTAAAAATGTTATTACTGCTATTGCTATTTATTATTATTATTATTAGTAGTAGTAGTAGTAGTAGTAGTAGTAGTATCATTATTATCATTATTAGTATCATTATTATTATTGTTATTGTTATTATTATTTTGTTGTTTTGCTGTTTTATTATTATTATTATTATTATTATTATTATTATTATTATTATTATTATTATTATTATTATTATTATTATTTTGTTATTATTACTATTATTTTTACCATTATTATTACTATTATTATTACTATTATTATTACAGAGCTCTCCTTCCCTGTCCACTCTGCCATGGCAGTTTGAAGCACCTGCACTTTGATGGTCCCAGTGGGTCCCTTCCAACTCAGGAATTCCATGATTTTATGGTTTTACTGTTACTCCAGAGTTCCAACCCCAATCCCAGAGCTTTTACTAAAAATACCAGCAGCCTTTCACATTCATCAGGCCTGGCTGTTTAATTTAGCACCAATTTGACTGATTTCAGGGCAATGTTTAATCTCAGGTTTACTTTCTTTTTTTATCCAACCTCAGACAGTGACAAATAATCAAGTTACCACTGAGGTTGTTGTTTCTGGGCAGGACAATGTAAGATGGCTTTGTTTGGCCTTTAACATTAAGGATTTGGGTGCTYTAGATAAAAATAACTTCTATAGAAACAAAGAGCACTTCCTGGTTTACATGGAATTTRTAAAACTGTCAAAGCCAGGAGATATGACAGATAGACATCTCGGGGACTGAGGTCTCTGTTGTGGCTTTAAGCAGCTTTTCTGTTGTATTTACACTTTCCTGCAATGGAGAAAAACCTCCTGCAAGCACCAAAGCCRTTTGTTCCCATAAATCCACCACGGTGCCCTAAAGACCTCTCCAGAAAAGTATTTCAGCATTATCCTGGAATGGTGAGATGCTGATTCCCACAGCCAGGAAAAAAAAAAAACTCTTATAAATAACATGGTTAAAAAGCAAAATCAAATCACCATTTCTCAGGGGAAATGCCATGAAGGAGTAGGTGCTGATCTAGATGTGTGTGTAGAAAAATTAAAAGTGATTACAGCAACCCACAGGGACACAYTTGGCTCTTCTTCACTGATCAAGAAAATCCTGTGACTCTGGAGCTCCCGAGGACTTTGGGTCAGAGCTGATCCCCCCCAGACAAAGGAATCCTGTCAATGATTATCCTGTGTGGGATAACTGGGAGAAATGCTCCCAGCTGAGGAGGGAAACACACACAGGACTCCCTGAAAAATGCGACTCTTCAGGCGTTAAACCTCCTCAGGACACCTCCACTGTTTTCACTTCAAAGTCAAGAGCTCAAAAACYGCTCCCTGTGAGTTCAGCAGGGAAAGGAATTCTGACAGAAATGTCCAAAGAAGCCTCGATGATGTCCAGAGCAGCCTTGTGACAAAATGAAACCACCAAACAGTTCCTCATGTGTGAATGTGAGAGCAGAGATCCCAAACTACAGATTAGAACACCCAACTCCACTTTCTTTGGGGTTTTTATTCTTGCAGAGGTTCAGGTAGGGAGCATTTACCATCCAACTGACTCATTTTTGGCTTAGTGTGGAGGAGACCCTTTGGAGACTTTCCCTACAATAAAATACTCCGACTAAAATCTGGAAAATTACCTCTCAGGGCTCTGCTGAAGAGCATCAATAGAAATGTGGTGCCAGCTAATGGCTGCAATAACTGTCTCCATCCCAGGGGAAAAATGGATGGAGAATTTATCAATATGAGGAGTGCAAGGGCCAGGCAAGCTGAGCAGCCCCTCGTTATCGGCCACAGTGATGATGCCACAGATATAATGTTATCTGGGAGAATCTTTAGGGCCCAGGGGGTGGGGAGGGCATTCTTTATGGACAGGGAAAGTGTCCATCAGGCCATATTCATAATCATCAGTGTTCCACTAAGTAAGCAGTTTTGGGCTGAGGAGCGCTGATGTAATAGAAATCAATGGAATTTCAGCTTTTCTGCAGCTTTTGTTCAGAGCAAAGTAGGGGCAAAAAAAACCCCTCAGCATCACTTTGGTTTCTGATCCCTCAGTCACGTGCAGAAAAGGCTCTGAAGGAAACCTGAAGTGAACCACAAGAAAACTCGGAGCTATTTAAAAATCTATTTAAATCCACACCTTGACACTCACAACTTACAAAGGAAACATTCTTAATATAAGCATCAAATGATTTTTTTTATTTCCAGTTTTGCCACACGAGCACTTAAAGCAGTGTGGGATGTGAAATTCCTGCTTGGCTTTCTCCTCCCCTTGCTGTGAGTTCTTTCTTGGGGAAAAGGAGCTGGCTCCAAGTATAGGGAGAGCAGAGTGATGGATGGAAGTCACTGCCATGAGACTGATGCTCTGCCTTCTCCTGGCAGACATTTCAAAATCACAGCACCCCACAGGGTARATTAGAGGATATCCTGGTCATTTTTCTACAATAGTTCCAGCATGTTTTCTCTCCATGTTTAAGCACCTGTCTTAAATTCCCTCTCCCAGTCTGGAGCACCTGTAYGCTGCGATTTTGTTACAAAAGGCAAAAATAAAACGTGCTGGCTCCCTGCCATCCCAGTCAAATCTGCACATTTCCATGTAATCCCAAGCAGGGGAAAACAAAGGTTAGTTGTGTGTCAAACTTGTTCAGGAAAAACCAGGAAATGCAGGAGTTAAAACATTCCAACAGCAGCACGAACTTGCCCGTGTTCTACATCCTGAATATTTTATGGTGTATTTATTGTAACAATACATTCAGCTACACATCCAACYACAAAAACAAAAACAGAAAGACAAACACTCCTCATGTGCAAGGCAGCTGCATTAGCATTTCTGAGGGACTTCAGGATTCCTGACACTGCTTTTAATTGAACATTCTGCATTTCATTTCTGTGTATAAATAGTCAACAAAACATGCCAGAGCTTCTGCTTCACGTTTGTGCTGTCTCAGGGAGGTTCTAAGGCTCCCACATCACGCAGCTGATAGGGATGGAAAATGTGATTTCCACCAGATATTCCTGAAAATAAAGATTTTCTTTTCCTAAAAAGTACAGAAATGCCTTCGAAGAGTCAGTGAGTATTTTCTCAGGAATATTTCTGACATTTATGCCCTCAGTCAGACTGGGAACCTTCTTCATGCTGACAAATTCTCTGGGCAGGAAGTGCCATCCTCACAGCTGAGCTGCACCAGGATGGGCTGCACAGGCCACAGGCTCCAAAAATTGCAAACAAAAAGGTCTGTGAGCTTCCTTTTCAGGGATTTCTACTTTTCCAATTGAAACTGGCACTGTTCTTTAATAATTTTTTTTTTTTAAAAAGGCCCAGTCAAAGAAGGCAGCGGTGGCCAGTTGGCTGCCTCCCAGAAATCCCTGCAGCCAACGAGGGAGCTCATTTACATCTCATTTCAAACCCAGCAGAGCAACTTAAGCCTTTAAAGACACGTTCTGAGGTGCAGGAGATTCCAGCTCATGGAATGGGAAAGCTCAGACAAAAACTCTGCTGCATCCCCRACGTGCCAGGGCACAGCACCCGCCTGGGGAACGGCTGAGCTGGGAATGCTYAGCTCCCAGAAATGCAGAAATGCAGGGAAAACTCAGGGTTCTGCTGTTCAAACAATGTCACAGCCAGCAGAGAGCTGGGAGGGGACAGGGAAGGGCTGGGACAGCTCCAGCTTTGCCTGTTGGAGTGTCCAAAATGCCCCAAAAGTGAGGTGTCCTTGAGCAAACTTTGGGACCTCAGAACTTCAGAACAAAGTTTGAGAAAATCTCACATTAAAAAGCAGCACAGCTGGAAAAATAYACTGGGATTAGTGATATTTCAGGAGTTTTGGATTTTTTTTTAAATAATTTGGTCATTATTTCCCAAAAGTTTTATTTTATACTCTTTAAATTCCACTGCTGTTCCTCAAAATGAACTGCAAACAAAGTTATGGTTGGGAATGGGGTATCCCTGTTTTTCAAAATACAGTTCAGTGGATTAATTTTTAAAAATAAAGTGCAGAATCTTTTTTTTTAAGGGGAAAAAAAAAAAAAACAGGATGAGCCAAAAAATTCTCAAAATATATATTTAACTACATGGCATTCTTTACTTTTGGTTTAAAATAAAGCAAAGCTTGCACCCCAATTCTTTTTGTAAAAAGGAGTGATGAACAGGATACAACTAAATCCTTTCCCATTTGGATCTTGTCACTGAATCCCAGCAGATTCCCAGGATTTTACATCCATGGATAGGAGGAAACTGACACCTATTGGCAACTTTAATATTACTGCATAAAGCTGCTTTCCCTCAAAGCATCACAAGAAACAGCTTCAGAGTTTTCTAAAAATACACAGATAAAATAAAAAAGTAATTTAAACTTTTCTAATTGTGACTGAAAATACATTCAGGAAGATTCTGACTTTTTTTTTTAATGATAAAACTCCTTCCAAAGTAAATTATGACCTGGAAGGACTCATGAAATAAATCCAGTGGGCCTAAGGAACAACCAAAATTAACAGGGATCACTGCTGATGTGGGTTTAATTGCTGCTGATGTGATAACCTGGAACTCAAACCTGAGGATTTTACACACTTTTGTACAAAATAAACAAAAGAATTGTTCAGCTACTGATGGGTGGCAGTGTGCCCTTTATAATTACAATAAAGCAATAATAAATATAGAAAAGAGTTAAATATTCATGGAGTAGCATTTGGATTTGGGGTTTTTTTTTAAGCAAATTTTCCTGAAGCTCCAAATGAAATCATTGAGACTTGGTTTGAAGATTTAGAATTAAAGAAACAAATTTTAAAAATTTGCTTTGGGTTCAGTCCACCTCTGAGCCCAAAATTGTACGTACTGGTAACGAAGAACTTTTTGGTGAAAGTGCARCTGTCAAAGGCGGCGATTTTCTCCTGCAGGACCACGACAAGAATCCTGAAAAAAACACAGAAATGCAACGTCCTCTTCAGACATTAAATGCACAGGGTTTAAAGATCCGATATCTAAATGTAATTATGCCAAAAGCATCAATAGAAAGTGTGCAGTGATGAAGTGCCAGGTTACCAAACCCTGGCAGTTATTGAGGGCTCCCTCCCCTCCCAACCACACCAGGAAGCTCATGGKTCTGATACACAACAGCACAGGCCATTTGGGAGAAACCTCCTGCAGTAAAAGCTCCATTAAAAAACAAAGAATGGAGCTGCAAAGAGCCTGAATTACTCTCACTGACTCAAAGAACAATCAAATCAACCATGGGCGGAACASGAGGATAAATCTGAAATAATCCCGTTGCCCACCTCTGTGTGTATTTATTAAAGTATTTTATTTACTAAAAGCAGAAGGGGGGTTTAATACTGAGAACAGAGCTCACAGACAGGAGTTGAGAGAGGCAGAATTTGTGCCAATTAGCAAATGAAAGATGTGTTTTTGTGTATTTGCTTGTACATCACACATTTTTATTGTAAAGAATAAAAAACACGGAATAACTACGCAAAAAACACAGTGCTGCCTAAAAAAAGGCATTGCCTGAAAATTAAAGATCTGTTTTTGTGTATTTGCTTGTATATCACACATTTTTATTTTAAAGAATAAAAACCACAGGATAACTATGCAAAAAACACAGTGCTGCCTAAAAAAAAGGTGAAAAATGCATTGCAAAAGATGCAAACAGGGAAGCAGAGCAGCATCGTGGAACTTTCAGGACCAGGATATACTTTGTCCCACGCTGATGACTTCCCAAAATCAAGTTTTTGAAAGCTTGACATTTAAAAAGCACCTGGGAAGCCAACAGGTAAAACCTACATTTACCAATATGACATAACTAATGATCTGTAATTCTCTCATTAGGCAGACTGTGAGAAAGTATTTTTTAATTAGCTGTCAATATAGAGCATTATTAAATATCATTTTAATGGTTTTAATTGYAAAGACACAACGTGGCAAAAAATTAATCACATCTCTCACTGACTAAAACCCACAGCTAATRCTTCAGCAGAACATTATGGCTGTGTGTTCCAGACTGGAACAGTCACCYTTAAAATTGGCATGAATCACCTCAGTCCCAAATCTTTTCCTTGGGGAAAGGGTGATGAACATCTCCCAGCAGCATGAAATCAGCCTTTAACTCATTTTTCCCTGTTTTTATCTGTTTTGCCACGAGAACATTTCCTTTTATCCCATGACAGCTCAAACCTGTGCAGCACAACACTAAAATCAAAATATAAACCATGCCCTCACACTTGCAAGTATTTTCAGATCTACAAATAAAATTAATTCATTTTGGACAAATTAGTTTTAATTAAATAACAATGTTCAATTGCTGAAATTGCAGGAAAGGAAAACAGAAGAAAAAAAAAAAAACAATTCTAACTTTTTCTACATTGCCTAAAATAAAGGAAGCCAATGGAAAATGGGAAGACTTTGGCTGCACGTGGAAGTGTGATGTGCATATATTGAAAACCTATGGATATTTGATGGAACAGCTCCCAAGCCTGGAGATTTTTGTTTTCTCCTCCTTGAAGACACTCTTTCTGCAGAAATTAACCCCCAGGTGAGTAATTCCAGAGGATAAATCCATAAACAGTTCTCCCTTCCTTTTGCAACTCAAGTTTTATTTCAAATRATTTTGGTATTTAATCTTTTTGTTCAATAGTGCTGCTTTTCTTCTGTAACTTCTCCCTGGCCTAATATCAACATTGAATTTAGATTTTGATGCTCCAGTGATGGACAAATGTTTGTTTAACAAAACTTTGGTGGCTCCTAGGGGATGTATTGATCTATTTATTTTCAGTAGCACTTTGCACGTGGTTGCACAAGTTTGATGCACACTCATCCACTTCCCACCCACAACAAAACCAGGCACAAAAAATGGATCATTCTGATGTTTCCAATTATTTTTGTGATTAGTAACTGAAGGACCATCCATTCTGGCATGGAAATATGCAGTAATTTCTTCATCYAAGGCTCTGCCTTGAACCCAAAATCCAATTGCACCACTCTCCCAGGGCATCTGAGGCTGCAGTGACTCAGGGCAGTAATGGGAGAGCAAAGGGARCAGGGCTTGGACCAAAATCACTGCTGCCAATTCTCCCATCAGGAGTGCCAAGGATCAGCAGGATCCTCTCACAGGGATCCTGGCATTTCTYCCCTGCCTTAAAAAGATGAGGCAAACTACAAAGCAAACCACAAAACTCCAGCTCTGCGTGCCTGGGAAAGATGGARATTTCAAGTGAACTCAGCAAAATTTGACTTTTTGGACACGACAGATTCCATCCTGCTGGAACTCTGTGATCCTCAGCCTCCAGAGCCATTTTCTCACTATCCCAACCCAGAGATGCTGCTTTGTTATTTGACTCACTGGCACATCATTCCCWGCACACCAGGAATGTTCTGGAAGTGCAGGGAGGCAGAATGTGACAGCGACACAAAGGAGACATAAACTCCTTAGCACTGGTTAAACTCTCTGTGATCCCATTTCTCCATCTGTAGGTGGATCATCGAGGATTTCAGCGACTCCTGCTCACMCTCATCGCAGCTGAAAGAAGCTTAAATGATTTTTTTGGTTTGAGCTTCTTAAACCAAAGCTGTGGGGGGAAGCACAGTGATGTATCCCAACTGAAATATTCCTTGAGAAATTCAGAGCTAGAGCTGTGCTTCCAGGAAAATCCAAATAAGAAAATCAGGGAAAATTGTACACCAGAAATTGTATTTATTACCAAAATTTGACATGCCCTGCCACACAAGGAATGAAGAGTGAGCATCCTTACCTTTTATTGCAATGCAGGTCATAGATGGGAGTTTTGAACTGGATGGACTTGACCATCTCTCCTGTTCTCAGGGAATACAGATCCACACAGCAGTAGGGTGGGCTGGTGCTGAAAGGAATTTTTTAAAAAATTAATTAATGGAAATCAGGATATGTTAAAAATTGGAGTTAAATTTATTTCATCCTCCTTGCTGAAGGGAAAGTCACAGAATTACAGAACCACAGAATTATTAAGGTTGGAAAAGACCTCCAAGACCATCAAGTCCTGGACCTACAATTGCARCAATCCCAGCAGGATCCTGRAGAACAAAGGGTCAATAGGAACTCCTCCATTAAACTGAATTCTGACCTCCACCATGGCCATGAACCTGTGTTGAACACCAGTGAGACTTTGGAACTGCAGCAGAACACAAGAAATGAATTTTAGACCAGATCCTAATAAAAATCTACAGGATCCTGAAGAACAAAGAGTCAATAGGAACTCCTCCATTAAAGTGAATTCTGACCTCCACCATGGCCATGAACCTGTGTTGTGCAACTGAACATTGAATTTGCCACCAGTGAGACTTTGGAACTATAGCAGAACACAAGAAATGAATTTTAGACCAGATCCTAATAAAAATCTACAGGATCCTGAAGAACAAAGGATCAATAGGAACTGCTCCATTAAACTGAATTCTGACCTCCACCATGGCCATGAACCTGCGTGGAATTTGCCACCAGTGAAGACTTTGGAACTGCAGCAGAACACAAGAAATGAATTTTAGACCATATCCTAATAAAAATCTACAAGATGCTGGAGAACAAAGGGTCAATAGGAACTCCTACATTAAACTGAATTCTGACCTCCACCATGGCCATGAACCTGTGTTGTGCAAACACCGAATTTGAACACCAGTGAGACTTTGGAACTGCAGCAGAACATAAGAAATTAATTTTAGATCATATCCTAATAAAAATCTACAGGATCCTGGAGAACAAAGGGTCAACAGGAACTCCTCCATTAAACTGAATTCTGACCTCCACCATGGCCATGAACCTGCATCGAATTTGCCACCAGTGAGACTTTGGAACTACAGCAGAATACAAGAAATGAATTTTTGACCATATCCTAATAAAAATCTACTCCTCAGAGTAAATTTCTCCTCCAGAGGGGCCTTCACCCCCTGAGCTGCATGATTGGGGTGGATGGAGACACGTTCCTCAGAATTGACACTGCATCCCTGATGGACTTTTGTTTGAGCTGCGCCGATCTTTCCAACCGCTCCGCGTCACTTTTATCATTTCAATATAAATAAAAGCCTCCAGGCCGTTCCTGAATTAAAAGGCTGAGTGGGAGAAGTGCTGAGTGTTCGATAGGGCCGGGGAAGGCAGCGCTGGAAACGCTTTTAGGGGCTGGGGAGAGGCTTTGATGTGGCAGCTCCGCTCCACAACACCTTTCTCCCCCTCCAAGAACGCATTAAAACCTTGGATATTTCTAGGTCAAGGAATAGGAAAGGAGCACAAATTGCCAGCTGTGCAAACACATCCTGAGTATTGGTAAAAGAGGGTGTTCCCCCTGCCCATTTCTGCTTTATTTTACAGAGTTTCACACAATTCCTGCCCCAACACTCGCGAGTCTCTCTTGAGCTGCTCAAGAATTTTCTGGAAAACTGGAGGATAAAATACCAACTGTTTACCCCCAGTGCTTCAAGATAATAAAATGGTTTATACAGGAATGTATAATACACAGTAAATGCACAGCTAGACAACTGTGCCCAAATGATCTGTACCACAAACTACCACAAATTTTTTTATATAATTACTATATCCTAGCAAATCTCCCAATAAATTGTTAATTTTAAAAATCCTATTTTTGTATGAGAATGAGGAGGACACTGGGAGTGACCCAAGTTTTTAAACAGCTCCTCTTCCACCTCTCTCGTGCTTTACAGAAGGGGAAGGAAAGCAAAACAAAACCAGAGTGCTGAGTTAATTAATTGAATATTGGAAAAATTCCTGCCTGAACCTTTACACTGGAAAGGTGAAGCAGGAGATTTGATTCTGATCTTTGCAGCAATATTACGAACACGGTGAGACCACAAAGGCAATTCTGTTCTCCTCGAGGGCCCTGAAGAAGGTTTGCTCAGATTAACAGATTTCAATATTGGAAGGATCATCTTCTCTTTCCAGACCATGCACAAAATGTCCCAGAAGCTCAAAGAAATGATTTTTTACCAAGCAACCTAATCTTGTCTTAAAAGACTTCTACCAACAATGAGTCCTCTATTTTTATGGTGAGTGGTTCCAACATTTTGATCGTTTTATTTTTATGAAATGACTTCTTGGTGCCTGATAGAATTTGTCCATATTTTGCTTTTCGGCTTCTGTGTCTCTGTCAAGAAAACAAAAAGGCTCATTGCCCTCAGTTATCTCCTGTCAATAATCACCCAGAGCAACCCAGGCACCAAATAATAAAGTGAAAAGGATTTTTCAGCCTTGTTTCCCAGCCCTAGCACTAAACTCCCTCAGCACTGCAATTCCCACCCTCCTTCTGAGGAAAACTTTAAAAAAAA